CACGAAGTCGCGGCAAGTCACACTGAAGCACAAGCACTGAGGCCAAAGACTGAATGCCCCAACAGGGCTTGACTCTGGTCTTAAGTACCAGACTCAGGCTCAGTCCGGAGGGCCGAGGTGCGGCCTGCCTCAGGACTAAACTGAGAATCGCAAGTCTGGGTTTGGGCGCCAGAATGCCGAATGGCGCCAAGTGTCGAAATCCGAAAATGCCAGAGGAGGAATTTGAAAACGGGCCCCAACTGCAGAGGGCGCCGACAGTTAAAAACCGAAGAGCAGGGACCCGAAAAAAAATAAAATAGCAGACTGGCGGGTGTTATCCTGCGGGCCAGGGATCGAGCCCTGGCTGGTTGTGTTTGTTAGTCCTATTAGCTTGTTGTTCTTGTGTTCTTTCAAGGGCTTCGGTTGCTTCTCGGAGGAGTCGATTCATTGTTGCTACCCATTCATTGAGTGAAGGGCAGGGGGTGGAGGGGTTGAGTTGCGAGGGGAGCAGGAAATCGGATGGCAAGCACGGATGACAGCCAAGGTCAAGGTAGAATGGAGACATGCCAGTGGAAGGACAGACAGCGCTGTTGTAGGCGATCTCGGCGGCGGTGAGCAACTAATCCCAGTCGTGTTGATGTCGATGACAATACTTTTGCAGGATTCTTTGGAGAGTATCGTTCATCTTCTCGATTTGTTCATCGGTCTATGGGTGGAAGGCAATGCTATACTTGAGCGTGGTTCCGTAGGCTTTAAAGAGGTGTTTCCAAAATTGTGAAAGGAAGTGAGGGTCACAGTCGCTGATGATGTTTGCGGAGAGACCATGATGGCGTGTGACACGATCGAAGAAGAGAATGGCGACGTCCTTGGCGTTGTGCGATGTGGTGCAAGGGATGAAGTGGGCGCGTTTAGTCAAGCGGCGAACAATGACATAGATGCAATCATGTCCGTGGTCGGTCTTGGGGAGACCGCAAACGAAGTCCATAGAGATGGATTGCCACCGGTGGGTGGGGATCGACAATGATTGTAGCTTGTCGGGCTTGGTGCGGTTTGAGGGGTTGACAACATGACACATGGGGCATGAGCGGATGTATGCTTTGACGTCGGCGAGTAGGGAAGGCCAGTGAAAGTAGCGGGAGACGGTGTCGAATATTTTCTGGAGCCCAAGATGTCCGACGGTCTTGGCGTCGTGGTGTTCGGCCAAGAGCTGGGTACAGAAACCACGTGCGTCCGGAATGCAAAGTCAGCAAGTGCCTTTAGTATCGATGTAAAAGAGATTGCCATGGAGGGAGTAGTTGGGGATAGGGTTGAGGTTACGAAGCTTGTTGTAGATGGTTGCAAAGTCTGGGCAAGAGAGATAGCCTTGGTGTAGTGATGGTGAAGAGACACGAGGAGTTGGATATGTGTCATTGCGGCATAAACTTTCTCAGGGGGTTTGTGATCGGGGCACCGGGAGAGGGCATGGACAACACAGTTGCGTTTGCCGGGTATATGGCAAACGGTGAAGGTGACTTAAACGAGAAAGTCTAACAGGCGAGCTTGTCATGGGGTAATGTCTTTCTTTGTTGGGATAAAAGAGACGACGGTGTTATCCGTGCGGATGGTGAAATAATGTCTTTCCAGGTACGGACACCAGACTTTGAGGGTGTGGATCACGGCGAGGAACTCCTCGTTGGCGGGGTAATTCATTTCCGCGGGAAGGAGTTTCTTGTTGGCGAAGGCGATGGGGTATTCGCCGGGTGGGGCCTCGGGGTGGGTAGGAGATTCCTTGATGGAGGGAGTTTCGGTGGTGTCACGGGGAAAATGTTGAGACAGGACGACTCAAATGGCGAAGTCGGAGGCGTCAGTGGTGACATAGAAATGGCGAGTGGGGTCGGCGATCTTGTAGACGGGGGCTCTGGTCATGAGTTGTTTGATGGCATTGAAGGCATTTCGGCAGCGGTCGTTCCAAGTGAAGGGTTCGTCTTTGTGGGTAAGTTCGTGGAGGGGGTACAAGATGTCGGAGAAGTTGCGGATAAAGGAACAGTAGTAGTTGGCAAGGCCGAGAAATGATCGAAGTTGGAGTAGGGTCTTGGGTGGTGGATACTCGACAAGGGCGGTAACCTTTGAGGGGTCGATGCGGATACCTTCAAAGAAGACGATGTGGCCAAGGTATTCAACGCTTGAAGCAGCAAAGGCGCATTTGCTGAGGTTGGCGTAGAATTTAGGCTCTCTGAGGATAAAGAGGACTTGGCGGAGATGTTGAAGCTGAGACTCAAAGGTGGGGCTGTGGCGAGGATATCATCAAGGTAGACGACGACACAGACTTCAAGAAGGTCACGGAAGATGTGATTCATTGTAGATTGGAATGTGGCGGGGGCGTTCGTGAGTCAGAAAGGCATCACAAGGAATTCGTAGTGCCCGAATCGAGAACGGAAGGCGGTCTTGTGGGTATCCTCCTCGCGGATGCGGATCTGGTGGAAGGCACTACGAAGGTTGATATTGGAAAAATACTCGGTTCCACGGAGTCAATCGAGAAGCTCAGAGATCCGAGGTAGGTGTTACTTGTTCTTGATCATGATCCCGTTCACGACGCGGTAGTCTGTGCACATCCGAAGTTCCGACGTTCCGCCTTTCTCTACGAAAAGGCAGTTTGTGCCGAAGGGGGACGAACTCGACTTAATGAATTCTTTTTCGAGGAGTTCATTGAGTTGCTGCTTCATTTATTCGGCTTCCGAAACGGAGAGTTGGTACGGAGGGCGGCAAGGTCGAGAGTGACCGGTGTCGGCGCGAATACCCTTACAAGGGTATCCGCCCTGGTTTTTGCAAGTGACAAAAGATAAGGTTTGCTTAGGATCTGAGTATACTGTGCGAAGTTGCGGTCGTGTTTGGTTTGCGTTGACTGAATGGTTGACAGGAAGTAAAGTATGCGTGGGCGCGCAATTTTGAGGCACGCGTGATGATTTTCATTTTTGATGCTATAGGGTCGGCGTGTCCGCCTACAACATTTCGGGCTTTGATTAAAGCTAGGAAAAGTTTTCTCTTTTTTACCATGGTGCACCGACGTTCATACGGCATGCGCCGTCGATAGTAGATTTGCTAGGTGGCGGCACACTTGTGTTGCATATGCGACGGTAGCCCAAGGGAAAAGTTTACCCCTTCATACAGCAAGGGCCGGTGCGCAGGAACAGTAGGACGCGAGCGGTGGCCTCCGCGCGGCATTATGGGGGCTACAATCGTGACGTACCGAGCAAGATCTGGTCCCTGACGGCATGTAAGAGGCCTTGGGATTGGCGGAGAAGTCAAGCGGCAGCCCTAACACTGCTACCGCAGGCCTAGGCTGGCCACCGTTACCATTCACATACTCAGCAGCGCATAACCTGTCCAGGCTTGGGCTTAGCCCTATTGGTTGCGGTGCTGAATTTTCACCAGGCGGATCCTGGGATTGAGGCCAGCAGCGAGCAGGGGAGGAGCGCTACGAAGCGAACCGAGGGGTTGAGGGTCCTGCGGGACCATACCCTTTGGTTTTGTTGGGGAGTCTGGCAGCGGGCCCGTGAGGTAAGACCAAGTACCAAAGGTCCTCCTCCCCCTGTTCCGTCTCTTTAATTTTTTTCCTAAGCCTTTTTCATTATTTTATTCTATTATTGTATTTTTTGTTTTTTATTTTTTTTATTTTTCCCGTTACAGGGCTTGGTCCGGTACCAGTCCCAGATCCGGCCGTGTAGCCCATCAGCCTAGTTCAGTGGGTACGCCACGAACCGCTGCCGGGGTACAGTCCTTCGGGACATCCGTTAAAATTGGAACGATATAGAGAGGACAGGCGTGGTGTTGCATACTTCAATGAGTATGGGCAGAACCAAAGATCAACCAATGTAGGATGAGCATATATGCAGTGGAAGTCTGATAAACGGACTGACTCACATAGACTGACTCACATAGCATCACTCCACACACATACAATCGTGAGATGGTGGGGTCTGGGCCATTCATAGACGATGCCCAGATCCCATACACACATTCACAGAGGAAAGGTGGGAGGAGAGACGAAGGAGGTGGGGAGGTAGACAACACCGATAGATAGAGTCTGATAGGTCTCCGATATGGTAGTCCAAAATGTCATACAACAAGATCAAAATGTYGAGGCCCATAGGTCACCAATGTCGGAGATACAGAGTCCAGATGTAACCGGTGTCCAACTGTGATGCAGCCGAGTATCAACCTCAACAATCTCCAAGTCTCCAATCAGGTAAGTACCACAGTCTCATATCACCGAAGTCCAACTCTGATCTCTGTCCAACTAGTATAAGTCTCTAGTCTGAGGAAGAAGAAGAAGGAGAAGAAGGAGAAGAAGAAGAAGGAGGAGGAGGAGGAGGAGAGAGAGAGAGAGAGAGAGAGAGAGTTGACGAGGGAGGGAGGAGAGGTACTCCGCTCCCAGGTACCTCAGGCGGCAATGGCCGCCGTGCTGGCTCAGTCGCCCTGCTGCTGCTCCGCTTGCCGCTGCGCTAATGCTGCGCTGCCGCTGCTGCTCCTTGCTCGCTCAGTCGCCCTGCTGCTGCTCCGCTTGCCGCTGCGCTAATGCTGCGCTGCCGCTGCTGCTCCTTGCTCGCTCCTGCGCTAAACTTAGCGCATCAAACAACGCTCTGGCGCTCACCATAACGCACCGGTAGAGTGTCGGTGGTTCGATGCCTCCAAGTGAGGCTGTACCGGTACTTATACCGGTGGGGCAGAGGCCGGCCTCAATGCTGCGAGGCCTGGCCATGCCCTGAACCGTCGAGATGGACGGTTCAGCCCCAACCGACGGGCGGCAGCCTCAAGAGCGCTGCCAGGCCCAAACGATAATGTCGTTTGGGCCTGCCCGTCGGGTACTGGTCCAAGATCATACCTTTAGGGCCTGTAATACCCCAAGGTCGGGCCTTTAGGCCCTGATGTGTCCGTCCGGCCCTAAGTCGGATCCGGTAGGACCCGTGTGCGTCGAAGATGTAACACACTCCCCCTCTTAAAAGACCGAGCTACCTGCGAGGGCGAACTTGTCTGTCCGATACCGGGGTGGGACGGGCGGGACGAGCTGCGTCCTTAGCAAGGCGTCGCTTCTCATCGTCGGCGAAGATGAGGGGTGCAGAAGTCTGCAAATCTGTACTGGAGATCCATCGAGTGTCATCAAGCGCACATTGCTTGAATGTGACTTTGTACTGCCTTGGCTTGTTGCCATACTTGCGGTGCGTGATGACTCGGTCAACTTCCTSATGTCCGTCCATAGAAGGCGGATCCTGTGATGGACGTCCGGGGAACTCGTCAGCTGAAGGTGGCGTGTAGATGGCTAGCTTCGATGCGTGGAAGACCCGATGCACTGTTAGGTGCGGTGGAATGTTGATCACGAAGGAAGGACCTGCGGGGTCGTCTCCAACGGCAGACGTGACTTCCCATGGTCCGAACCATTTCGGAAGGAGTTTGCGCGAAACATCCTGCTCGAGCGCAAATTCCTCGGAGAGGACCCAAACACGGTCTCCCTCGCGGAAAGGACATGGAAGTCAACGTCGGTTAGCTTGCTGCTGCATGCGGATCTGAGCCTTTAGCATATTTGCGCGGGCTTTGATCAGCAAGTCCCGGTACTTCCGGATGGAAGCGGGAGAGCAAGGGACGTCTATGTCGGCAGCCTGTGGCAAAAGGAGATCAACGAAGATCCGTGCTTTCTCTCCACCATGATGTAGCTCGAATGGTGTGACGCAGATCACCGGGTGCACCAAAGTGTTGTAGGCGAACTCGATGTCGAGAAGCCGGTCAACCCAATCTTTCTGGTGGGGACGGATGAGCGTACGCAACATCATCTGAGCGGTCTGGTGCGCTCGCTCCGTCTGACCATCCGTCTGCGGGTGCCGAGCCGAGCTCGGCTTCATTGTCGTGCCGGACTCAGTCATGAGAGAAGTCCAAAAGGTCGACATGAAGCGAGTATCTCGGTCGCTCACTTTATCTTCTGGAACACCCTGGTTGGTAATCCAACCGGTGTGCAAGAGTCGTGCGAGCTCAGGTGCTGCAGCATGATACTTGCAAGGAAGGAAGCGAGCATACTTGCTCAAACGGTCAACGACCGTGAGAATACCGTCATGGCCGTGGCGATCGCGGGGAAACGGGCCTGTCACGTCCATAGCAATGGARAGGCGTGGTGCCCGAGGGATCAGCAACAGTTTCAGTTCGCCGAAGGGGACTCGAGATCGACCCTTGTTACGGTGGCAAACTGCACATGACTCAATGTACCTCGTGACGTCGTGAAGGACGTCGGGCCAGTGAAAACGCTGGCGGAGGCGTGCTAGTGTGCGGTTCACGCCAAGGTGTGCCGAAAGTCGTGCGTCGTGGAATTCGCGCAGAAGACGAGTCCGTAAGATGCGATCTTGGGGCACGACTAACAAGGCCTTTCCTCTCGTGTGAAGGAGAAGGAACCCGTCGGAAATCCGATAGTGGCTAGCCGGCGGGTGATCCGATGAAAGCTCCGCATAAAGCTTAGAGTAAGTCGGATCGGACTTGTAGCCTTTGACGAAATGCGGCTGCAGATCGTCATCGAGGTCGAATGCCGTGGTCACAATGGCACAAAAGTCGGGCCGTCGTGAGAGGGCGTCCGCAGCTCGATTGGCGGGACCGGGAATGTGACACGGGTCAAAATCGAACTGGTCGATGTAGTACATCCATCAACCGATCGTGCTAGTGACCGTGTCTTGCGTTTTATAAAAGGTCAACGGATTGTTGTCCGTATTCCATTTGAAACGCCGACGACCGAGAAGAAAGTGGCGCCACCGTTTGAGAACGGTGACGCACGCGAGTAGCTCTTTCTTCCTAGCGTCGTCGAGAGTGTTGACGAGAGGCACCTTTTGGAAGAAATACTCAACCGGATGCCAACCGTCCTCGTGACACT